CCTCTTCCTTTTGATTTCAGCCAAAATATTATTATTCTACGTTATTTTTTATGCGGTACTGGCCGGTTTCTTCGGAGCGATGTTGACAGTGTTCTATCAAACGTTAGACCCGAATGCACCGAAATGGCAATTGGACAATTCCTTGATAGGGAGCAACCCCGGCCTCGGTTTCAGGCCCATGCCGCCTTCGAGCAACGTCGAGAGTACTTTGATCTGGTACAAAGCCAGCGACGAGGGAAACTTTTTACACTGGACCAGAGAATTGGACAAGTTCCTCGAAGGTAGAATAAATTTTAATTTCCATCTCGTTGTAATAATTTTTTTAAATTGGTAATAATTTTTTTTTTTTTTTGAACGACGTATCTCTCTCTCTCCCCTTTTCTCTCTTTAATTTTTACTTCAACGAAAAAAATCCCTTTAATGAGAAAAATATTATAATCTCGTTCCATTGATCGAAAAATTATTTATGTTTGTTGATAAACTGTGTATTGGATGGATGCAAGTATATTCAGTAATATTATTTCCATAGATGTATTATGACGCTAATATTAACCGATAAGCGAGAAAATAGTCTTTGTCCTAACGAGCCAATTACGTCAGGAACCCGTTAAATCCGGTCAAGGTGAGACCAATCTTTGGATCAAAGTTTCAGCGTCTTTACATTTATATTACATNATATATATATATATTGTATAAAATTAAGAGCAAAATAGAAATTACTTTTTTAAAAAGTTGGCAAAACGAAATAATATAAATAAACCTATATACAATCTCTCATATTTTCTCAATAATTTTTCAATATATCAGATCTCGCCATTCGACAATTTTATTTTATTATGCGACGATTGAACGCGAAAAAAAAAAAAGAATAACGTTTTCGATTCGTTGCAGAGTACCAGAAACCAGCATCGTCGACGAACGGCGCCCAGAAAAGGACGATTTGCGACTACGGTAAACCGCCAGCCCCCGGCAAAGTCTGCGATGTGGACATGTCGACGTGGGGCCAATGCACGAAGAAAAACAAATACGGTTACAACAAATCCGCTCCTTGCATCTTCCTCAAGTTGAACAAGGTAAGCGAAACGACAGAGATCTCGAGTGTTTAAAAATTTTAGCACTCATAAGATTACTCATAAGATAATTACTCATAAGATAAGATTACATCTCATAAGATCATACATAAAGGATTTAGGAATTTTATGAAGCGATATTCTAAAAGAATCAAACATAAATAAATATTGTCGCCGTCCAAGTTGCCGCAACAATCCCAGTGGTGCCGGAAAGTTACCACTGGAGTTACGGCGTTGACTCGAGTAGTGACAGAGTTACCGTTGGAGAGCAAAGAATTAATATTATTATAATATATATATTACATATATTATATGTAATATATTATAATATATATAATATATATAATTACTATAATATATAATATATTTCTATACTATATTATATTATATATTATATGTATTATATTTCTATAATAATATATAATATTACTATAATATATAATAATATATATAATATATCGCATCAATCCAAATGGTGCCGGAGAGTCACTGTTGGAAAACAGAGGGTTAATATTAT